CTTGGTTTCAGACCTCTGGCCTCCAGAACCTTGACAGAGAATTCCTGTTGTCTTAAGCCCTCCACTCTGTGGTGCTTTGTTACAGCAACCCTGGGCACTAATTAACACAGGCACACTGTCCGTGTTCCTGCTACACCCCCCCCCCCAAAAGCCACACGTGCCAGGGGCTACCACGGATGGAGACACACTCCCATCTTTGCAGAAGGTTCTGTTGGACAGTGTCATTCTACAGGACACCTTTAGGAGAAAGAAGCAAAGATGAACAGTTTGGTTTTCAGAAAAAGTCGACGTTTGTTGGGTTGGCCTAATCCCGTCTCCCATATTGCCCACATCCTTAGTCTCCGTCCTTCCACAGGGAGGGGGCCCGTCATTGTCAAGGGGAAACCAGGGGCGCCGAGTGGCTTTCCTCCCTGACCTGAGAAAGTGGACCTTGACACTTAGGCCCACTCTTCCTGAATGCTGACAGCAGAGGGTGAGGGTGTGGGTCCACACTGAGCCCGAGAACCAGAGCCCCAGAACAAGCCCGTTCCCACACAGCTCTCACCACTCACCTCTCCCTGGACCCATTTCCTCTCTTTGGCCAATCTCTCCAGCCCAGCACACACCAGCCTGCCCAGAGGACAGGGAAGCCTGGCCAGAAGGACATCTGCCTGCCCCTGCCCCCCTTCCAGGCTCTCACACTGTCTGTTGCCAAAAACGGCTGTTTCTTTCATGTCACTGGATGGTCTTTGCCTTACTCATCAGTGGGTGCCAGAGGCAAAGAAGAAAGAATTAAAATCGGTCCTTCTCCACATAACGAATCCTGCTCCGCAAAGAGATTGCAGCAGCCCTAAGCAAGAAAATCTGTTTGCAGAACTCCCCCGGCTGTTTTCCCAATGTGTTTCCAACTTACTTTACTGTTGGGCAAATAGGTCTGTGTCTCTAGCCTGTTCTTGTAGGTTCTACAAATGGAACCAGACAGTGCGGACTCTGCCACATCAGGCTTCTCTTGCTCACATTGTTTGTGAGGCTCATTATATTTGGGGCACGTCACTGCAGGCTGTTTATTCACATTACTACAGAATATTCCATGGTGTGAAGTGATTGCAGTGTGTATCTGTCATCTCTACGGCTGTTGGGCATCTGGGTGGTTTCCACGTCAGGGCCTTGATGGATGCTGCTACCTGAACATTCGATACACACACTCATCAGGGGGCACGTGTGCTTTCTTTGGGGGTGCTGCTTGCTTTTATTTGATGTGGTCATTCAGCACGAAAATGTTATGGGAGAGGAGAGGGGAGGAGCCTAGCACTGGAGCATTGGTGGAACATCTACCATGTGCTGGGCCTACATAACCTCATCTGATGGAACCCACACCACCTGTGGGGTTGGCATTGACCCCCCTGTACCTGGACTGCCGAGGCTTGGAGGCCGTGTGTGTTCCGGCTGAGGGAGGCACAGCAGGAGTAAGGCTGGGGGCCCAGGGTTTGGATCCTTCTGACCAAGCCCCAAACCTGTGATTTAGCAGATGCAGCATGTCCCAGAATGCTAGCATTCAACAGCCCGAACCTGGCAGCCTTGGCCGCAGGAAACCAAGAACCCTGACCAGGCAAGGCTTCATGGGGTAGCAGATGCTACCTACTATCAGATACGCCCACTGGATGTGCTAGCCAAATGCCGACCATATGACTGATGAATAGCAGATTAGTGAGAATTTCTCAGTGTTCTGATAAAGTCTAAATGCAGTCAGTCTGTACTTGCCCCGAACAGAGGCCCTGGCATCAGGGGTACATGATGAATAAACTGCTATCAGCTGCTTCGGAAACCCCTGGTCTCCGAGTTGACTGAGGATGTTAGGTTTCCTTTTCATTCCTGATGATAAGAGAAAAGTCCACTTCCTTTTGAGCAACACCAAGAAAACAAAGGATTAATGCCTATGTTCTCTTTTCTCAATCCAATTGTAACACACGCGCGCGCGCGCGCATGCGCGCGCGAATTGGAGGTGAATCCTGCCGGGAAAGTTGGTTGGAGACCACTAAGCCCCAAACAGGATAACCCCAGCATCCGGCTGCCAACATCCGTCATCACACGAAGCTGGCCTTGGGACAATCGGGAACAGTTCCTGCCGCAGATGAGCTGTGTGTGACAGATACTCCTTGGGGAGACAGACAGAGGAGGGGCTGTGTCTGTACGCGGCTACTTAATAAGACGCTACGAACGCACATAAGATCGTTCTGCGGCTTTTTCTGCTGTGCTATCACTGGGTGAGGCAGGGTCTCTTTGCCCAGGAAGGACTTGAGGGCAGGTGTCAGGGATGGCTATACTCGGCCAATCTGGAAGGCAGACTTGGAAGCCACGAGTCCCTGTCAGGCCAGCTCCTGATATGATTTCTTATGTAAGGGGACAGCAGATGTGGCCGTATCTGGCCAACTGAGCCCCGGTAAGGGAAACAGGGACTTTTCTCTGAGACAGAAAGGGTATGAGAGCAGGTGGTCATTGTTCTCAAGGGCCTGGAGAGAAAATCACTCTATTTGTCCAAAAGATCAGCTCCCTAAGCTCCTGGCTTTACCATCCAAGATTCTAGTGAATTTCCACTGCTCTGCCTAAGTGCCCCAGGCTCTGGGGTCCCTAGCCGAAGTTAAAGCCAGAGCCATGGATCTGCCTTTCTCCTGCTGGCTTCATACCTTTGGTAGTCTTAGGGACAGGGCTGGCCTCAAAGCGGCTCTTCTCGGCCAACGGCACCTTACCTATTGCCTTCTAGCCTGACATACCCGCATAGCAACTTTATGACCTTGCCCCCAAGAGCGGTGTTTTTGAGGGTAGGATTTCAAGCCTGGAGCCTGAGTTTCCTGAGTTCTGCTTCTCACGGTACAAAATGACAACCTGCTTTGTGCACTATAAAGCAGGTGGGAAAGAGATGGCATCCTTCCTTGGAGTGAAAGGTTCCATACCAACTGTTCATACAGCTGCAGTGTGATCTAGAGCCACAGATCCTCATCCTAGGGAAAATCAGCCCGAAGGGGTTTGGATTGGGCAAGGGGGGGGCCTGGTTTCAAACTCACCAGGCCTTAGCCAGAGGCCCCATGTCTCCAAGCCGAGTTAGGCCCTCCCCAGTGCTGATCGCTTCTTTGGCCACCCCCGGGCACATGACTGACAGAGCACAACTACAAACCGCTGAAAGTTACCTGGGCCATCAGCAGGGGTGGCCAGGGAGAGGCCGTGACTCTGCGGTCTCTCCGGCAGTCACACCCTGGGCCACGGTCCCTACTGTAACCACAGCTAGAACAGCAGGCTTACAATGCCACGAGGGGGCCTGACGCAGCAGGAGTCCTTGGGGCCCGTGCAGCACATATGCTCTTGCCACAGAATGCCACCTGAGCTGCTGGATCTGGAACCTCAGCCATGGTATGTGAGAAGCAGAAAGCTAGAGGGGCCCAGGGGACACTGGAGGGAGCCAGCCTGCAGGACGCCCAGCCGTTCACAGTGATGGTACCAAGTCATAGAAGAAGGCTAATTACAGTAATTTGCTACCTGGGAAGGCAGGGGTGCATGGGGAATATTCTAGAAAGATGCCATTGGAATGGAACACTTGAAGGGCAAATTTCAGTTCTTTCAAAGACTCATTGATGAGAGAGCGGGTTCTCCAGCCCTCTTATAAAGTGGTTATTCCGTACCAGGCATTGTTTGGGGTGATTTGCAAATTGTAGCTGATCTAACCTCCCAACACCCCTGGAGGGAGGCTTTGTGGTCCACTGCAGAGGAGGAAACAGAGACCCAGGGAGATCACGGGACTTGCCCGGGGCCGCACAGCCTGCGGCTGTCAGAGTTGCAGTCACCCCTGCAGTCTGGCCCCAGAGTGCCGGATCCCAGCCCTTGGTGGCTCCTGTCTCCAGGCCTGCAGTGCCAACAGACAAGTCGAGCTTCACGTGTAGACAGCAGTGACTGGCTAGAGGCGGGGGTCGTAAGTCACAGCCCTCCCTCACTGGGAAGTCAGGCCCCGGTTCACCCGATCTCTGGCCAGCCGGGATTCTCAAAGTGTGCACCTTTACGAGTCTCCCCAGGCCATGCCCCAAGCGTCCTGAAAGGGTGGGGGCATCTCCCCACAGTGGGGTGGAGTCAGTCAGGCTGGCCAGGGCTCAGATCTACACCCCAGCGGCGTCACCCTGGAGGGAAGACGGCTCCTCCCGGGCCAGCCTGCAGCAGCTGAAGGACCCAGGGTGCGGGTCCTTCCCGGTGGTCCCGGGAGCTCCAGCCTAACTGAGTCCTGTGTTCTCCCTGTTTCTGAGGGAGAGACTCAGGGAGGGACCGGAAGTTGTTTACTCATCCCAGGACATTTAGCCCCTGGTCAGAGGACGACCTTAGGCACCTGGGTAACAACAAGGTCATGGCGCTAAGCGCAGTCCCCAACTCTCAGAAGCTTCCCAAACTCGGGGTGTCTCTGCCTGGGCTAGACAGCAGCTTGCTGCAGGAGAACTAAGGGCAACGTCACCTCACTTGACCAACCGATGAGCTGTAGACCCTGCTGGGTCAAACCCCTGGGGGGCACAGCACGCAGCCGGTGGCAGGGGGTGGGGGGTGCGGGGGGCATTGCAAAGGCTGCTCCATGTCCAGGGGTCCCTCACACTAACCAGTGAACCACGGAGCACCATTCCGAGCAACCCACCCCACCCTCTAGCCTACCTGTCAGCTGCCCCAGGGTCTCCAAAGCTGCTGTCTCGGGGGTGGGGGGGAGGGGAAAGGGAATTCAAAGGCAGCAACCATCTCTTCCTGGACGGGGGGCAGGGGGTTGCTGAGAAGGTGATTCAGTTCTCTCAACAAGCCAGCCATCGATGGCCCACCTGCTCCCCGCGGCTCAACGCTATGAAAGGAGACCGAGGGGGCCCAGGCCCCTGATGAGGTTCCCGCTCCCCCACAGTGGCAGACACAGGACATACAAAGGATCTGGTGCCTGACCGAGAGCCAAGTTAAACAGGGCCAGTCAGTGAGCTGGACCCGGCTCAACAGAGGGCTCCAAACGGGGCCAGCTGAGCCTGTGGGGCCCCTGGGGGCCACTGCAAAGCACTGCCTAAAGGTAGAGGTGGTCGGAAGGCACAGGGAGCCCCAGGAGGGAACAGGATTGATACTTAGCTAGAAAACTCTCACCCAAATCCCAAAAAGGTGGGGTAAGGATGTGTAGGGACAGCCTCCAGAACACTGATCTCGGCAAGCCACCCTAGACGCACCGTCATACATGATGCTAGCCACCACCTGTCACAGGGCTGGACCCAAATCCAGGATTTTCTGCCTCCAAAGCCAAATTGTTTTGGTCCTGAAACTCGCCACGTAGTCAGCTCCTGTTCAATATCGAGAAGGAAAAGTACGATGCACATTATTATTATTGTTTCTTCTTTATTAACTGGGCTCTGAGAGGCCAAATTAATGAGCTCAGAATTCTAGGCACTATTGATGTCGGGGCTTGTCCTCAACCAAAACTGTTCAACGAGGCGTTCTGTTGCTTCTCCATCGTCCTATGACCACTGGAGGCCTTCCTACCATCAGTGAAAATAGGAAATAGAAAATGGAGAATATAAATATCTTCTAAGGAGCATAAATGTTTTAGTTCTTTAACTTTCTTGTTTTGGCACGGTGGAATATTTGCCCTGACGGTGTTTAAGGTCCTGAGTCAGTGAGGTGGACGGCCTAGGCCAGGGCCCAGGGCAGCTCTGGCGGATACCCAGTTAGTGAGAAACCCTTGTCCACCTAGAATGTATTCTCCTCTTTTTACAGCAATGTGACCCAGCAAATGCTACCAACAACCACAAGAATGGTGAAATGTCCGGGCAGCATGGCAAATTCTATATGGAAATGTAACCGGCCAAGCACAGGACAGTAGTGACGGCTCATAACTACATCCACGGGAAGCCCTCAGCGGTGCAGATAATTCAAGTTCAGTGTGGCCGCCCTGACAGCCAGTGTGGCCTTGGGCTGCCCCGAGTCAACCGAACGCCCAAGAGGAGGGCTGTCAACGGTGTGTCACTGCTTGCTGGGCGCCCAGTGGGCGAGCTACGCCCAATCCTGGGGGACTCGATGACCATCGCACATTCAGAGGGTCTTTCAGGAGGAAAAGCGTTTACACTGGGGCCACAAAGAGCCCAGTCCAGAAAGCTGAGCCAAGGCCAGGGAATGGAAATTACATGATGTTCCAACCTCAGTTTCCTGGGGAGAGCAACCATCCCAGGCCTTTGGGCCTCTCCCCGCCGAGCTCGGACGTGCAAGTGCAGATATGACAGAGGCATCTCCAACCAGGTTCTAAATCTTAGTTCTACACCTGCTACCCCCCAAGCCCCACCTGGGCTTTCCCTCCCAGCCGCACCCCTCCCGTCCATGCCCCCTGCCCTGCACAGGGGCACACGGGCGCCTCCTTTGCTCCCAGGACTCGCTCACCCCTTAGCGGTCCTCCTTTTTTTTTTTTTTTTAAAGATTTTATTTATTTATTTATTTGAGGGAAAGAGTTAGGGGAGGAGCAAAGGAAGAGGGACAGGCAGACTCTGTGTTGAGCACGGAGCCCGACGTGGGGCTCGATCCCAGGACCCTGAGATCACGACCAGAGGAAAGCAAGAGTCGGCCGCTTCACGGACACAGCCCCCCAGGCGCCCTGCCCATCTGCACACGGAAGCTGCCCGAGTCTTCAGAACAGGAGCCAGCTCCTGGCAGCCCTCTGCTCGAAGCTCTGTGACGGCCCCATCACACCTAGAAGAAATCTGGAGGTCACAGATGGGGCCCACCGGCCCTCACTTCCTGCCGCCTTCACCCCCAGGGGGTCCCCCACCCCCAGCCTTGACTGACAGCCACATTTCCCCCTCGGGCCTCAGCTCCTTCACCGTCTGGTCCCCAGGTGCCTTGGCCCTGACCCGGGCTCCCGCTCAGGGGGAGGCCTCGCTCCCCAAACCCTCCAGGAGGGCACAGCCCTCACTCACCACACACTCCCTCCACCCGCTTCGATTCCTTTACTCCATTTACCGCTACCTGACTCAATACACAACAGACATACGACAACCTGTAAAACCCCATGGCCTCCTCCCACTGGCGATGGGCTCTGGGAGCCAGGGACTTGGCTTTCTGCATCTCTGTGCTGGTGGCCCCGGGGGCAGGCACAGCAGGAACGCCGACGGGTGGGGGCAGGGACAACCAGGAGATCTAGAAACACCAGGAACTAGTCAGCACTTTGGTGTACGCACTTCAGAAAATACCGGCATTCACGTTCAGTGGGTTAATCTATTTAAACACTTCGCCTATTCATTTGCTCCGCAGAGCCTTTGGGGTAGGCACTATCATTTCCATCACACAGACGGTGACGCTGAGGCCCAGGAAGGGTAAGCAGCTGCAGATGTTTGTTGAAATGAATGTTTGTTGAATGAATAAGTGAACAAGTCACCCATCTCTAGAAGTGTGTAAACAGAAGCTGAGGACTGCTTATTAGGGTGACTGGCGATGATGGCAGGGATGAGATTTTCAAGAGAGCTACTGGCCTGTCTGTGGACTCAAGGCTCCGGGTTCTCTTCTGCATTCCAGAAATCCTCAGACCCGAGGACTCTCCCTCACCTGGGCCCCACCGTGACCAAGCGAATGCGGGATGCAGGCCAAGGGCTGGGGTAGTGTCCCTGGGCTGGGTTTGGTGCCACCATCCCAGGAGTCTCCCCTTCCCTGAGGGACTTGGGACTCCCTGGTGCTGCCTCGTGGGTGGCAGTCTCCCCCACCCGGTGGTGGGGCCACCTCTCAGGTGATGAGCAGCTGGGAGGATCCAGTGTCAGGGTGCGACTGGCCACCGGGGACCCGGCCTTCCTCCCACGGTCTTCCTGTCACGTGCTGTAATAGGACCAGGTGGCTCGTGACCTCCACCCTCACACGTCCCCCGGTGTCCCCCACTGAGCTGCCAACTCTGCCGTAAACGGACAGGAGGGGCCTGCACACTGAGCCTGGGCCTCTGCACGGCTGGCTCCGGGGGGTCAAATGAGGTGGCCACAGTGGGGTCTTTCTCCTTACTCCTTGGGACTGACCCTCCTCTTGGACCCCACAAAGCTGCAGATGGCAGCCACGGGGACAGCCCTGCAAGGTCCTCTGTTCTGGTTCCCCGGGAGAGAGAGTGTCCCTGTCCCCACTGATGAGACAGGACAAACTGCCCTTCTCGGCTCTGGAAGCCAACCCCACCTGCAAAGCCCCCAGGGCTGGGGTGTGAGCTGCCCACTGGCCAGCCCAGGAGACACTGCCGTACGTAGGAGGGGAGCCTGGGTGAAATGAGCTTCCTGTTACCACCGAAGGGGTCAATGCTGGGTAGGAGCCACTGCGTCAACCACGTGCTCAGTTACCCAGTGTGGTTCCCCGAGGGAGGATGTGACAATCCTCTCCTCCCTCGGTCTTCGTCTTTCCTGGAGGCTTATGCACAGGTCAATGATTCAGAGGAGAAAAACGTTCCAGTCATGCAAATTCATTCCACTTGCATTTACATTTTCCATCACTCATTTGGGTATAAGATATTTTCAGCAGATTCCCAGCACCCAAAGCAAATCCTATTTATGGGGTGCCCTGTGTGTTCGGGGAGAGTGGCCGGGCCACAGAGGAGAGGGGTGCAAGCGGGTATTCTCTCCGCTCCCTCCACAAACACCCCTCCTCCTGGTGCACTGATCTGCCTCTGGAGGTGAAGCAGTTTCCAATTTCTCCTTTCTGCGGCCGGATAATTAAATCAAGGCAGGATAACAGAATATGTTGGACACAGGGAAGGGAAAGACTCCAAGGCAAAAATCCCAGAAGGGCAGTGGGTCAGGGAAGAGAGAGTTTGGAGCCTGACATCTCAGAAATCAGATATGCTGGTGTGCCAATCTGAACGCCCCAAACTGCCTTCTGGGAGGGGAGGGAATTTGGGGCTTTGTGATCTTTTGCTCTGACTTCCCTTCCACTCCCCCTCGCCCCACTGTGGCCCCCAAGACAGACTCTCTTCTTTAATTCCAGAGCCTTGGGAATTCCACACCCCTAAGCGCAAGCCAGGCTGTTTCTTCAAGGCCTCGGCGCCGGGAGTCTCTTACATATGTGTAATGCAGCGTTGTTTTACTTGTTAGCATGGAAAAATGTGAACACATACAAAGGTAGAACAGAATCACGAACCTCCATCTTCCCCTCACCCGGCTTCAAGAACTACAAGCTCATGGACACGTTGTGTGGGCATCGTCTCTCCAACGCCTGCCAGGGAATCACCTGGAAGTCTCGTTCAAACTCCCTGGGCCCCATCCCAGACCGAGTACCTGTCAATTTAGGGGCTAGAGTCCAAGAATCTGTAGTTTCCCCATACGTTCCCCCACAGGATTCTCATGCATGGGGAGTGTGGGGTTCCCCCCGGAGGAAGGTGAGGGCCGGCTCACTTGGGCGAAATCCACACCTTCTCAGCTGTCATCTCCATCTGAATATAGATACTATTCAGTTGTTCGGAGGAATAAACACGGTGCATGAGAAAGGTGCCGGACACACGGCAAATGCCCATCACACACCCTGTGTTATCATCGTCCTGCATCACTGTAGTTGGTTCCCAAACCCCGGGGGAAAATGTACACCAAGATGGAGTTTGTTTCTTTGTTTTTTTGTTTTTTTAAGAGCGGGAGAGGAAGAGAGAGAGAGAGAAAGAGAGAGAGAGAAGGAGAGGGAGGAGCTGGGGGGCAGAGGAGAGAGAGAATCCTAAGCAGGCTCCATACCCCGTGGGGAGCCTGATGTGGGGCTCGATCTCACGACCCTGAGATCATGACCTGAGCCAAAACCAAGAGTCGGAGGCCTCCCTGGCTGAGCCAGCCAGGCGCCCAAGATGGAGATTTTGTGGGACATTTGTCCAAATCTATGAGCTCTGCCATCTCTTGGCACCAAGGCAAGTGTATGCATTTCTGTTTGGGGCCACTGACCAACAGAGAAAAAACGCAATACACAAACCAGGGAGTTCCCATCTTGCTATTGGCCCCCAGAGGTCAGGTATGACACTGAACCCTTGTCCTTTCTTAAGACAACTCAAGGAGATGAGAGGGGGATACCTGTGGAGGGACTTACTATCAGACACCACGGGAACGGAGAGAGACCTTTGGCAATAATGCCCTGTCATCCTAGCCCTTACTGTGACTCTGGGCATTCATGAAAGGGGCAGGGGGCTGGGCAGAGCAGGCCCACCTTGTCCAGCCGGGACTGGATCCAGTCATGAACCTTCCTGCCGTGTTTGTCACGCACAGAGCTCAACCCATCCCTTACACAGTAGGCTCGCAGCAATCACTTAGAAAGGCAGATGGGGGACATGGTTTCCATCACATTGCCGTGGAAACCGAGGCCTACACAAAAATCAAGCTTCCTGTGGCTCCATAGAAATTCGTTTAGAGAATAGTAGGGATTAATGCCATTGTCCTAGCTACTGGTTTGAATGCCTCTAAGGAAAAGTTTCTACAACCCAGAGCATTTCAGAAAGCGTGGAGGCCCGAGGCAGGCAACTGGTTTGAAGATTTAAATACCTCTGTGGCAGGTGGGAGCCCACATGGATCCGGGAGAAGGGACAGCTTCCATACCCTTTTAGGGAAAGGAGTGTTGGTAGTAACGAGAGTAGCAGCAACTTGCTCCCGTAAGAATTTGAGGAAATAAAGGAAGGAAAGAGGTTGCCCTTATAAAGTTAAGTTTTGAAAAGCACATAAAAAGGAGACGTAATTATCCACTGATGAGAGTTGCCCAAGAGACTGTGATTACATGGCTCAAGAATTTGGGAACACCCATAACTCCACTCAAGGTGACCTGGGTCACCTGCAGGGAGGCAGAAATAATATTTTACTCCAATTTAGTAAGCAGAAACTTTTTGGAGAAACTCCAAGCACAGAGAACAGTGCAAGGATGGTCATCCAAGGGCACAAAACAGGAAGCTCCAAATGCCTTTCCGCACACGGTCCAAGGGAAGGGTGGCCGGGTGCCAGAACATTCTAGATCACACTTGAACTCACTCAGCAGCTGTTGGGCTGGCTCCCCACATCGCTCGGCAGGTTAGGGTGCTGGTGTCTGCACCCTGGTCCACACACCCACGTGTGCCCGTCATCTGTACCATGGAGATGAGAAAGCTTTAGATCCGGATGGTTTGATGAACGGAGAAACAGGCGTGTTCTTGGTGTGCTGCAGAGAGTGAGTTTTTGAGCCTACAAAGTTGATGACCCATCCTGAGACCTGGTGATCCACCAAGAAACGTCACCATGCGGGAGAGGTCTCTTGGCAGCTTGTCTCAACTGTGCTGGGGACCTTCCTCAAATTTACCGTCCTATGTCAGAAGGGGGTTTGCCCACCCAGCGTCTTTTCCATCTTCCCTATGATTGGCTTCTAGAGAAGGGGAGAGGGGCTCCGAAGTGGGGGGATTCCCTCAAGACTCACTTTTCCAGCCCCACTGTGGCAATGGCATGCCACCAGGAGACCAAGACTGACCCTTGGACATCCCGAGCCAAACTTCTCAGAAGCAGGTGCAAAGCAGGATCCCCTGGTTTCCAGAGATGGCTGGCTGGATACACCTGCTCAGGCTACCGGGTGCCTTCAACAGCAGAAACTAATTTTCCCATGGTTCTTGAGGCTGGAAAGTCCAATGTCAAGGTGCCAGCACGGTCAAGTTCTGGTGAGGTCTCTCTTCCTGGCTTGTAGACAGCTGCCTTTGCGCTGTGTCCTCCCACGGTAGAGAGTCCCCCTCTTCCCCATTTTATAAGGCCACCAGTCCTATTGGATGAGGTCCCCACCCTTGTGACCTCGTTTTACCTTACTTATCTCCTAAATGCCCTCTTTCTGAATGCAGTCACATGGCGGGTTGGAGGCACACTGCACGAACGGGGGGGCACTGCAGGGGCAGGAGTCGTCCCGGTGTGCCCGGGGCCTGGCCCTCCCAGTGCTGCATGGGAGGCCACTGCCCCTGCTCTGGAAGTGACTTTGGGCACTTCTTGGGGACACACAGCTTGCAACTTGGTTCTTTGCATGCTGGGGATTCTGCGAGCTACTCAATATCCTTTGATAATTTGGGGGGGTCCACTTAAACAGCTAGAACTAATTTCTGGGCTAATTCAGAACTCTGATGCCAGGCCAAATAGGACCACTTTCCACGGAGTCCAAAGCTGGCTTCTCTGAATTTCCGAAGGGGAGTCTCTGGCTCTTGCTCACCATATGTGAAGGTAGGCCCGCCCCCTCCTCCCTCTCACGGTGTTGCTGCATTAGAATCTCCTGGAAAGGGTGCTCTTGGGCTTCAAGTAGCAGAAAATCTAATTCAAACTGGCTTTAACAAAAACATTTGCCTCGGGACAGGAAGTCCAGCGTGGGGCTGTGTGTCTTCTCTCTGTCCATCTGGGCTTCAGCTTCCTTTGCTCATGGTCACAGACGGCTGCCAGCAGCTGGGGCAGTGTCTATGCCTGTGTCCCGGGAGGAGGGAAAGAAGGAAGAACACTGCCCCACATCTTGGAATGGCAGCCCCCAACCCCAGTCAACAGCGCTCTGCCTGGGCCAAGACTGGTTGCCAGGTCTGTCCGAGCCCCCAGTTTGTCAGAGAAGCTGGCCATCCTCGGGCAAGTGCTCAGGAGCTCAGGAGGAGCCGGGCTGGGCTGGGAGTGACCCTTCAGCAGATGCGAGCAAGCAAGTCCAGCCAGCGGAGAGGACTCTGAGCACAAGACACAGACTGACCAGGGTGACCCCAGAGGTGCCCCAGGGGAGCTGGCAAAGTGCAGGGTCGGGGGCAGGCCTCCAGTTTCTGGGGGGAACGAAAGAGCACACGGGCCCAGGAGGGACAGTACGGGGAACGAGAAGGTATCCCTTTGGAAGAAACTGGGTACGAAGTGGAGCCTTGATAGGCTGCAGGAAGCAGAAGTCAGGACAGAATTCAGCACGCCAGAGCCATCCTGGTTTCTGGGGCAGGCTGAAAGAAGGGAGCAGGGACAGGTGGGGAGAGCCCCAGGCCGGGTGTAGGCTGGCACCCGGGCATGGAGGGGGCAGGGAGGATCAGCAGCAAGACCCCAAGAGGCAGCACGGTTCTGAGAATGCTCTGGCCAGGTGGGTGGGGAGCTGCCCCTCAGAGTCCCACGTCCTGCAGCAAGAGCCTTCTCCTCCGGACACAAGGCCATATTGCCCCCCGGGTTCCTCTTCTCCCTTCGGCATCAAAACCTGCTCCAGGAAAAGAACCTGTTCTCAGTCCCTTGCACCTTCTCCCTCCCCGGTGGCTCCTCATCTCTCATTGGAAAGGAGGACGCTGCTTTGATAACGAAAGGAGGACGGGTAACCGTCCTCTGGATAACCGGCAGGACGAAAGGAGAATTCCCTCTGTTCTGAAAGCAGCCGGGTTCTGGTGGGACACTCAGAGCCAGAGCCCTGCCTCCCCGGGCTTCTCAAGCAGTGAGGGAGCTTGGCCTTGGCCTTCCTGCCGTCAGCCAACAGCTCAGCACCAGTCCCCGCTCGCGGCTGTCACGTCAGCCGGCACGCTCCTATTACGGATGGTGTTGCTGGCACACCCGAGCTGGTAAGACCTGGGCCCCCCAGGTGGTGACTAAAGGACACTCCTCCCTTCCCAAAGGCCTCTGCATCCTCTGACCAGCTCCCTACTTCCGAGCCTGTCATCCCAGCCCAACACCCTCCCCTCCCATCCTCCCTGGGGTCTCTGCCTGCAGACCCGGGGAAGCCAAGGACTGTGAATAAGAGAGGCTGCCACCCTGTTCTGAGGGGGAGCTGGAGTTCTGTGCTGTTCTGCTCTCCCCCAAGCACCTGCGGAGACGTTCTGGGTCTAAACGGGCTCAGGTCTGGGAACTAAGGGGCCGTGACCCTGTTCCTACGATTTGAGTTAGACATTCATGCACTTGACCTAGGACTCACCCTCTTATGCAGACAAGAATGTAGCAGGCTTCCCCTCCGTCTCGTTCCTAGGACCAGCGCCATCAAGTAGTGACCCCCTCATCTGTGTGAGGCAGACTCCTCCCGTCATGCTCCACCTCTGCTGTCCTGAACCGTAACCAAGCCCATCCTGTCTCTGGTGATTAAGTGGTGCCACCTGGGACCTAACCGTCCCCCATTGCATTTAGGATTTCCGGGGCAATGGGGGCACTTCCCACTGTAATTTTGGACCCGCAGAGAAGAGCGACTATAGAGCTTTTCCAAGGAGCTGGGGCTCCCCTTACCAAGTATTTGTCATGGTATCAGTGAAAAGTGTGTCCTCCAGATTCTCCTGGGGTGGGGGTGGAGGGTGGAGAGCGGGTCTTACATGATAATCTCCTCTCACATTCCCACGTCCCGAAGCCTTTGGATCCCTTCCTCTAGGGAGTCCCACAGTGTCGGCCACCCTTGGGTCCGTGTTTCAGTCAAACAAACTGCAGAGCCCTCTGTGCCCCTAGAGCCCTTCTGCAACCCCTTGGCAAGCCCAGGAGGAAGCATCTCCACTGAGGGAGTCAGCTCAGCCCTGCTCCTGGAAGCGACACACCCAAGGAAAGAGGGGACTCTCCCACGGGCTGTTCTGCCCCGAGTCCCCTGGGTCAGGAAATCCCACAAGAACCCTTAGAAGGCAGGGCTGGTCCTCTCTCTCCTGGGACGAATGCCAGGCCTGTCTCCATGTCCCACTGCCCCCCCCCCCCGCAGAACCTCCCCCCGGCTTTCTGGGCCTCTCTCTACCATTTTTTCTAAGGACCCCCATGGCCCCAGGCTACCTCCCCAGGCCAGGCCTGTTTCCTAGCCCCCTGCACATCTCCCAACCCAGAGTCACTATGCCTCTTCCATCCGCAGGGCCTTGCTCTGTGTGATGGGCTAATTGGTGCTTAGCTGCCAAACGCCAGTTTGTATGGGCTTCAAGAGACACAGAGGCCTCTGGGAAGGATAATGTAATAGCAGATGATGCCAGGATCCAAACCCACGCCACCCGAGCTGAAACTTGCACCTTTAGAAAGTCAGATGTTGGGGACCTGGGGCTGTTCACTCTGTCCCCCGGATCACACTGCAGGTGGCTGCCCCTCAGGTTCCCACAGGGGCCCGATACCCCAGCAATAACTCAGAGGTAGTCTCCAGGCTCTCAGCACCTTCTCATTACACACAGCGGTGGGAGTCAGCAGGCCCTCCCGCCTGTGGGTGCACACTTGAAGGGCTTGCAGGCTCGGTGGGGACAGATGGCCCTGTCCACTGACTGATAGGCAAAACATGGTGTCCACATACAACGGACTCCCTCATCCTCTGAAAAAAGAAGGACAACCTGACACACGCCACAACATGGATGAACCCTGAGGACACTGCGCTCAGTGACAGAAGCCAGTCACAAAGAGACAAATGCCGTGGATTCCACTTATGTGAGTTACTACACCAGTCAAACTCACAGAGACGGAAGATAGGCGGTGGGTCTATAGGGGACAGAGAACGGATGCATTAGTGTTTAATGGAGGCAAGAAGAAAGTTCGGGGATGATGGTGGTGGTGGTTGCACATTAGTGCGAACGTAATTAATGCCCCAGAACCATATGCTCAAAAATAGACAAATGGTAAATTTCATGGTTACATGTTTTTCACCACAATGTAAAGAAACGCCAAAACGAAAATAAGGAGTGGCATGTCACTCACGGCCGTCACATGTGGCTCACGGGCATGGAGGGTTCCAGCGGAGTGGAGAGGGGACTCCCTGGGAAGGTCCAAATCCCAGGAACCCCGGGCGCCCCCAGCTGCCCCAGGCCTGGGCCCCGAGGGCTACTTGCAGTTCTTCTGGTTCCAACCACTCCGCATTTCAAGCTTACTTCTTGCTGTTACCCTCATCCACGTTCTATTCTGCCTGAATCTCAGAGCCAGGACCTTGAGAGGGTCTCAATAAATCTCTCATCCAGTGTTTAAAAACTCGCCCTTGGCTGGAACACCCCTTGTATTAACAACTAACACTGCTGAGCGCCTACTGTATACGGGCAGGGTGCTCCCCCTCGGAGGGCCGCCAGCCCCGCCCCAGCCCCGTCCGGGTGGGCGCCCCCTTCCTGCAGCGCCGCCTCCAGAACGCTGTCCTCCTTAGAGACCCACAGAGATACCGGGGCGCCGTGCATGCTCGTGATCGTGGGGAACTTCTTCTGGCTTTCCAAAGCTTTGACATTTTATTTTAGGTTTTAGATTTTTAAAACATAGTAAAATGCATTTAAAAATACATATATTTTCATGGTGGGGGTGGTGGATATTTCTCTCCTGCGAAGTTGAGTTCTGTTTCCCTCCGGGATGAGAACCAGGCAATCCCGCTTCATTAGGACACTCCTTCAAATCCTTGAGGACTGTTCTCACCCCTCGCTAAGCTCACGCCTGTCCCTGCCAACATTTCCAATTCTTTCAACTCCTTTTCATATGACAGGATTTTCAAGTCTCGTATCACCCTGATAATTAAGTCCCTGACCTTGAAAAATGTTTACAATCCCATAGAAGAATTAAAATTTAAGATTAAGAAATAGAATAAGGCCCACCTGGAATGACTTAATAATTCAGTATTAAATCCTGTGGCTCGGACCATAAAGGAGAAGACAGAGGAGGTCTAAGCAGGGGGGAGGCTTCCGTGACCCCCGCTGTGGCCCTGAGAATGCTCGCAGGGGACTGGCCATCCCACCCCAGGCCTTTCTGCTTTTAGGTGGGTGGTTAAAGAGGCCCGAACAGCTACATCACCACACCTCGAAATCTGTCTGGGGACTCACAGCTGAGCGGACTGGGCCCTCCCCCACTTCGATTTTCTTTGATTTTTCTATCCTAGGGATGAGGTGATCTATTTTTAGTGTAGAGGCTGCTGTAAGGGAGAAGTTGCTATAGCGACAGTTGGTGGTTACAAACCAGGTCCTGCTACAGTTCCCCGTCATAAATAAATCCCAAACGCCGAGCTCCAGGAAGCATGCAGCCTTAGAGACGGGAGCTCCTTCCGGACCTGCCAGGGACCCCGCCTGCTATGCTTCATGGCGTGCCGCGTATAGGCTGAGCCTGAGTCCTCGCTAGCGGGGACGCCGACCAGGACGTGGGACGCACACTGCGTTCACTGCCTCACCGGGGACTGACGCTACACCTCCAACACCAGGCGAGGAAAAAACACCTGCGATTGTGCAGCGCTGGATGATGGGCAGAGGGAGGCTGGTTGTGAGTGCAGGGCACCAGGTGAGGAAGGCTGGAAAAATGCAGACCTGGCTTCTGCTCAGAGACTAGCCCGGGCGGGGGCGGGGGGGCACACCCAGCTAACGCTGAGCTATTGACTGAGGCGGCCCACGTGTGTGTGCGACGACTAGCAGCCGTTGTACGCGTGCAACAGAAGCATGCAGATGTACAAGAACATTCATAGCAGCCTGGGTCAGAGCCCCGAGCCAGAAACCGCCATATGCCGGTGCAGGTGGGTGGAGGAGGAGCTGTGGTCCACACAGGGGATGGGGCGGCCAAGGAGGGTGCACGGTAGCAACAGCATCAGCTGGGCTGCATCTCACAGTGTGCGAGGGTAGGAAGCCATGTGAAAAAGAACTCTCGTACGGACCCAGCATAGAAAGTTCAGCACCAGACCGTGCTGATCTTACGGGGGAAGTGCCCTGGAGGGAGTCGGGGGGAGGCTTCCGGGGTGCTCCCGTGATGCTGTGTTCCTTGATCTGCGTGTTGGTTACACGCATGTGTTCAAATTGCACATTCACCACCTACGATTTGTACATGTTTCTGTATGCTTCTACTTTCATAACATCTATATTAACGAGGTTTTTAAAGCTAGTATTGCATTGTTAGTCAATCTCAACAATGTAGTGCCCGAGGTAGATCTGTTTGTGGGTGCTGGGACCTGCCGGGATGCGTGGACCCAAGCCCCATCTGGTTCCGGCAAGTCCAGGCACAGAAGTGCCAGACTTGGTCATAAGGATGGGGTGACTCCAGGTGACCTACCACCAGCACGGGAGCCCTGCTGTGGGGCCATCCAGGAGAAGGGACGCTGGTGTCGCAGGAGACCCCTGGGAAGGGGGACCCTGGATGGGTTTGGTAGGCGATGGCAATCACCCCCGGGCTGGGCACACCTTGGGGGTTCTTGGCCCACAGGCGCCAGCCTGAAGAGACAGCGAGAGACAGCGTTTCGCTCGTCTTTCTGGGGCACCGTCTGGGCATCTCCTCAGGTCATGGCCACCGCTGCTCAGAGGTCACCTTGAGGCTACGGCCACTTCTGTTTCTCCTCTGATCAGCTTTGGCTGTACTGTGACCAGGCTGAGTCCCTCAGGAATGAGCCGCAGGGACGACAGGGGACTTCTGACTCAACATCCCCCATGACTCACGGACTGCCTGGGGTAGCAGCCGGAGTGTGGGTGAAGAATGTGGCAGAGAAAGGGGAGGCTTTGTGTGTTGTTGCAGCAGAGGGGAGGGGTACCGGTGGCTCACCTCACGCACAGTCAGGAGAGGGAAGCCCTATGGAAAGGGTGCCCGGGGTCTTGGGGCTGAGGCTGCCTGCAGTGGGCGGAGACACTCATCTCCTTTGATAGGTTGCCCCGTGGGACTGACATATCTCTTGGCCTCTCTGGGCCTCAGTTGTCCCATCTGTAAAATGGGAAAACCCCTTCACCATCTCCTCTTCCTGCATTAACAGAGTTATTGAACATAAAACATTGCAGAGCCATGCAACGGGGCTGCCCATAAGCAAGTGGCAGGAGGTGCAAGGCAGGGGCTGCCCCAGGGGCTGGAAACACCTACAGCCCCTCTCCCGGCGGGGAGGCTGAGGGAAGCTGCTGTGGAAGCCCAGGGAGGACGCTTTTCATGCAGAACCAGCCCTGGCTCTCTCCGCCAGGCCCTCTCCTAACACCTTCCCTGGCTGACACCTCTTCCGGGAGCCCCAGCCTAGCATCCTCAGTTCTGTCCAACCTGGCCCCATTTTCTCTTTCTGGAATTTTCTTTGACTGCCCTCCCCCTCATGTCTCCACCAGTCCAACCTCACCTCCTGGGTCCAGGGCACACAGAGCCCAACTCCACCCAAGCCCCAGAGCATGGGGCACCAGCGCCCATCTGAGGGGCCTCCTCTGTAGGCAGGGGTCCCCCGGCTAGACTGCAGACAGCCGTGAGCCGCATCTCACACGCTTACCTCATTTTCAGCACCAGGCTAACATACACACATGATATGTACATTTATCAGATGGATTAACCTGTGATTTCTGGCTTATCTAATGATGTGCAGCCAGATATACATCATAGAAGAAATGCATCAAAACCTGGTTCGTACAGAGTCCAGACGGCGGCCCAACAGGCTGGTCTGAAATTTGCCAGCGCACCTGCAGTTGACGACATCATAGCCGTCTCTCTCTGCGGTAGAATCTTTTCAAACTAAGTCCTATTTTAAATCCACAAAAAGGGATACAGTAATTTCAAGAAAACGACCGATTTGTATAAAGCATCAACAGATCTCATATATTTTTTTCACTGTAAATTTGGATTATCAGAGTGCGTAGCGTGAACACACAGCTCTAGGGTATATGGAGCTGGACAAAGGTCAATGGCAAGGCCTCAGAGACAGGGCCCTTATTGCCACCGGGGCCGCCCCCACCCACCATGCCTCAGCGTCCTCAGTCTGAAGGAGCTACATCTCCACGTTGGGAGAAGCTCACAGATCACTTGCGTGGTCCTCAAGTCATTATGGAGTGCCCAGTGTGGAACAAGCTCCATGTTCAGCTATATCACGGGGATTCGGTTGGCTCTCATTTCACAGAAAAATCCAAAATCACAGTGGCTTCATTCAGCAAGGGAGTGGTTTATTCTCCTTTCACACAAAGGGTGCCTGACAGGTAAGCAGTCCAGAGTTCTCTGGTAACCCAGACTCCTGTCTCTAGATCCCACTGTCCTGAGTGTGTGTGTCTTCATCCTCAGCAGTCACCTTAGGGTCCAAGTTGGCTGCCAGAGCTCCAGTCATCACAAGTTGCATTCAAGGCAGGGGGAAGGAAGAAGGATCAATGGGGACCCACCCTGCCCCTCTTTTATGAGTCTTTCCCATAAGCGTAAACAACATTCCCCTTTATAGCTCAGTGAATAACTTTGTCGCAGGCCCTTCCGAGCCATATGCAGGCCACAGAATGAGAACCGAGGTCCTGTTATTGGGGAAGGCGGGTCATGAATGTGGGCAACAATCGGAGATCTGTCACAGGCAGAGAGAACGAGACACAGTCTCCACACCAGAAGAGTTTGGCAAGTCAGCCCAACCAGACTAACCAAACACTGCGCTGAGTTACCGTCTTACTGCCAATGTGAGCAAGACCGTGGTGGGTCCTGGAGCACTTGGGAGAGATTCTGTGGAACAGCACCGAGAGGGTGGTGGGCCTGGAAGTGGGCGAGGAGGCCGAGGAGGGCTAATCCAGCGAGGGGGAAAAACACACTCAGCCCCATTCTCTTTAGCTTATCTTCTGAAGACAATGTGGAGCCGGAGGGGACCCCTGTCAGCCACGTGACCCAGAGAAGTCACTCTCGGGGCCTCCTTGTCTTTTCTATCAGCCTGGAATAAGAGCAGACTCCCCAGGGGCCACGGTTATCTGGACACTCGGCACCCTTGACCAACCCAGACAATGCAGAGGTGGATTGGGGCCTGCCAAAGCCTCACAGTGGAAACCTCCAACAGAGCTCCACTGTTTCTTGTTCGGGAGAAAACCTGCTTTTCTAGGGTGGATCTGGGGACCTGCCTCCGGAGACGCCACACTGATCTCAGCAGGAACGTCAGGAGGGTGAGGTTGGGGCCAAACGTGTGCGAGGGGTGCTGTGCTGGGTGGGTGCCCCTGAGGATGACCTTCCAGGCACTGAGATACCTGTGTTGCTCCCCTGAGCTCTGGGCAACCCCGCTAAAGGCCTGTGATGTGCAAGGCCCCGTCCGGAGCCCTCCCCACTCCCCTCCCATTCCTCTCCCCCCCACCAGACACCCAGCTGGTGATCTCTGCCCAGCACGGCCTTCCCCTCCCCATCCCCCACATCGAAATCAGACCCTTCTGACAAAATCTCTGTTTACCCTTTAATTTGTATCATCTTTTATCATACACTTTTGTGACCTATTTATGCATGTTTGTTCAATGTCTACATGCTTCCCCACTGTGTCCCCAGCACCCAAGTCCCACACGCCACGGCTGGAGCTTACAGGAGCAAACCACAGAGACTGAGCAGGAAGCAAGCACCGGAAGGGTCGGCGATGCCCACGCTGGGGGCCGAGGCAGGGCAGAGACGCAGGGAGAGAGCACAGGCCGGGCGGAGGGGTTGCACCAAGCAGGAGTCAGGTTGGTGAGGTTCAAGAGACCTCAGAATGGAAGAAACCTGCAGGTCAGCCGGTCTCTTCTGTGTCTCTCGAAGGCCTGCAGGGCAATGCCGGGTCCTCCGTGGGCCCCTTTGTTGGTCTGACCACACCTTCCTGTCGCTTTCTTCCAAAATTAAGGGCATGGAGTCCCAGACTCCATGCAAATGGACACAGAGCATCCGTGTCATTTGCCCACCACCAGGCAGGTGGCTTTTTTGTGGAATACTGTCTACAACAATGGGAGAGAAGGCGGCACAGCACACTTGTCCACAGATACTCACGTGGCACTTTCTGTGGCCTAAAGACACCCCCTCAGGACAGACAGCCCTCCACCTTGGTCCGCAGGTGCGAAAGACGGTGTCCTTGAAATGAAAAGGAGACACACGTGCCCAGAAGGAAGTAACCCAAGGGGGAGCTGGGCATGGAAGGCCCAGGAGGCCAGGGTGTCTGGACTTGGGGGACACAAGCCCCTCCACCATGACCCTGCATGCTGGAGGCTCAGCTCTCAAGGAGGGCAGATGGCCACCCAGCAGAGTTGAAAACACTTGGAAGTGAAAGGTGAAGAGGAACGAGAAG